TGCAGGTCGAGCCCCCTTCTCGATTTGAGAACTGGGTGTGTTGCTCCCTCAGCTAAATAACTGCTAGCTGTTCCACCATTGGAACATGCTGTAGGTTGAGCTCCCTCTCGTTGAGAGCTGGATGTTGCTCCCTCAGCCACAGGTTTACTGCTAGCCACTCCAGCATTATAGCCTTAGACATAGCGTTTGGGGATACACTATTTCTATCTATGGGCTGCTCTTTCATGGTGCCACGAGTGTGTGTAGTGCACGTTATGCTTTGCCCACTTTTCTAAAATCCACATAGCTGGTAAGTGAGCACGTTATGCTTTGCCCACTTTTCTAAAATCCACATAAGTTGTAAGTGTGAACGTTATTCTTTGCCCACTTTTCAAAAAATCCTGTATGGTAAGAGCTACGCCCAGAGACTTCGTGCTCTTTTTGAGTGGTTTAAAACCCCGGTTCTGCCTTGGGCACCACTCCTCCTATGTATCCTTTGGATACCTACTTTACAGGGTGTTGCTACTAAGGGTCTGTTGAGACAGTTCCTTCAGCACATACAAAGAGAAACGTGCGGTAGCCCCTGTGTGACAGGCCAAGACTAGTATGATTCTAGGTTCTTGGTCGTATTCCCTTAAAGGAATCTATTTCTGATTCCAAGCCTTGAGCTCTACCCCGGGCCCAGGAGTCTGGCCCTAACAGGTAAGTATTTGGGGTATGTAGCCTAGGCCTTTGGCCGTAGGGAATAACGTCACTGACAGCCGTCTAACGTCCCAGGGGCAACTCCCATAGCAATATGGTAAAGTTGGTACTTAGTGCTCGCCATGGTTCTGGCTTGCACTCCCCTCAGCATGGCAGCGTGGGGATACCGTTCCCCATAGCACCCCCTAGAGGACGCAGTTCGAAGTTCCCATGAAAGGGAACGTCTCGGGTTACTTATGTAACCATGGTTCCCTGAGTAACTGACTGACAAAGAAGCCAAATAAGCCACAATAATCTACACATCTACACGTGTATCAGTGTTTATTTCTTGTCTTTGTCCAGGAATGGTGCAATAATGAAAGCACTTACTGATCTGCTCCTTTGAAGCCTCTTGCCCTGCATGATGAGAACAATAAACTCACTTTATTTACAACCACCTTTTTTTCTCTGTAAATAAAAGCCCCTCTTAACATGTTATTATCTTTAAGATCATAATGGTACTGTATGCATTATATTTAGTATCATAATGTATATGCATTATATGTGTGAATATTTGAAGAAATATATAAATCACCTTGAGTGTGTGCAGGGCGGATGTTTGAAATCAGCACTGAAAAGTGAAAAGAGACCATTATTGATTAATTATTAGATTTAGTTGATTCTAAATAGAACTACAGTACATGAATATCTTGCAAAACTTCTGAAAGAAATTCCACAAGAAAAGCATAGTTTGAATCACCATTTGAATAGTTTACACTGATTAAAAGTTTGAGAGAGAAATTAGCTCTTTAGAAGACTAATTCAAATTAGCAAACTACAAACAGTGTCAATGGTATTTTGATACAACAGATTTTAGACCAGTTTTATATTGTTAATGAGCAGAATTGCTCGGCTCAACTCTTTCTATCTTCTCTATTCTATCAAATCAGATCAATCTATCTCTATTCTGAAGGAGGGTGAAAGATTGAAGACAACATCTATGTGCATTGCTAAGAATATCAATGTGATGCTGTCATCATACCACTGAAACAACAGAGACACTGAACTGCAGATCTTATTTTGCATGCCATCAGTACTTTATAAGTGGTCAGTAACGTCACCATATCACATCACAAGTAAAGACTATAGATGCACTAACTGCTGGTGAAGATCTACTGAAGAAAACAAACGTCTCAGGTTAAGCATGTAACCATGGTTTCCTGTGAACAGGGAATGAGACGCTGCGTCCTCTAGAGAGCGCTAGGGGAACGCCTTCAGCGTGACCGGTGTCTGAAGCATGAAATGAAAAAACGACAATGAACTTGACATTGGCAGGCGGCAGCCTATGAAGTAAACAATAAAGCAAATGCGGGTATAAAAGAGCACCTGCGGAAAACGTTATCCACTTCTTTGGCTGAAGGAGACAGAGGCAGGAATGCCGAGGCATGGCAATGAGACGCAGCGTCTCGTTCCCTGTTCTCAAGAACCATGGTTACATGCGTAACCTGAGACATTCCCTTTCGAAAGGGAACTCAACGCTGCGTCCTCTAGAGGGCGCTAGGGGAACGGTCTACTCACGCCGCCATGCTGACGGATGAGCGCCCAAAACTGGATTCCTTAAGTCAAGGACTCAAGGAAGACCATCCCTGCCCCAGCCAGATCACTTCTGCTAGGACCCGAGCCACAACCTCTACAGGCAGGCTCAAACTCGTTAGCGCTCACCTACCAAAGTCTGAACTCTAAGAGTGGAGGTCTCAGCATACTGACTCTCTAGAATGAGAGGAGACCTGGCTACACTCAACGCCAGGTTCAGTTAGTGAGGCTCAAGAGCCTGCACATTAATACTGCCTAAACGGAGCTTTGCAAAGTGGAGGCTTCAGCAGAACGACTCTCTTAAACGAGAGGAAGCCTAACAACACTCAACCATAGTTGAGGGGCTCTTAAGAGTGGAGGTCTCAGCATAACGACTCTCTAAAGCGAGAGGAGACCTAGCTATACTCAACGCCAGAGGCAGTTAGTGAGGCTCAAAAAAGGCAGAGCCTACAAACTCATATTACTGCCAAAGACGGAGTAACCCTCGTTGAGGAGCTCTTAAAAGTGGAGGGCTCAGCATAACGACTCTGTAAAGCGAGAGGAGACCTAGCTA